TTTACTTCTAGTACAATTAGCATTCACATGTACTTTCACTGCATAACTAGTTACAATTCACCATTCACTGTCACTAATCTACATTAACTAAAATAATAACTATTAACATTTACATGTATTTTCACAGCATTAACTTTTCACAATTCATCATTGACTGTCACAAGTTTACATTTAGTAATACAAACAATAAACATTAACATGTACTTTCACCACAGAACTAGTCACATCAATAATAATTGCTGATTTACATTCAATAATACAATACATTCTTAGTCACCATTAACCATCTTATTACAATTTTTACAGAATAATCACAACTAGATATCATTGAGATGGTGGCCATCTCAAAGGGCCCCGCTTTCAGCAATGAACATGAAAGTGTAAGGTAGCTGAAAAGGGTTTATTTTGAAGAGGAACATTTGTGTACTATCAAGGGATGTGTTGTTTAAGTCTAAAGGGCTTCTATGTTATCCTCGTTATAATAAAAAATGGCACGAAAATCACGAGTGCTCAACACCTTCCATCAAAAAACGGCACAAAAATCACGAATGCTGCATATCCTCTATGAAAATTGTTGCATATCCTCTCAAATGATCACAAATGATCCATACCCTAAGTCAATTGGTAAGGTTTGAGGCTGACTGGACTTAAGGGAAAGAAATTATGCAACGAACAAAGATTTTAAACAGAGAGGCTATTTTTGAAGTTGACTCTTGACCTAGAAAGTTCGTTCAAGGTCACTGCACATCCATTGACAAGTGGCACTCTGTGAGTGAAGTATGAGTCACATTGGACCAAGGGGAGAGAAGTTATGCTCTGGACAAGGACTTTTCATATAATTCTGCTATGACCTTAACCTTAGACCTGAAACATGGTTCAAGGTCACTGCACACCCTTTACCAAAAGGCACTCTGTGGGTGAAGTATGAGCCAGATTGGGCCAAGGAGAGAGAAAATATGCTCTGGACAAAAATTTAAACAGAGAGGCTTTTTTTGACCTTGACCCTTGACCTAAAAACTTTGTTCAAGGTCACTGCATAGCCATTGACCAGTGGCACTCTGTGAGTGAAGTATGAGCCACATTGATCAAGAGGAGAGAAGATATGCTCCAGACAAGGATTTTTCATATAATTCTGCTATGACCTTGACCTTAGACCTAGAAACATGGTTCAAGATCACTGCACACCCTTTACCAAAATGCACTCTGTGGATGAAGTATGAGCCAGATTGGGCCAAGGAGAGAGAAGATATTCTCTGGACAAGAGATCTCATAGGAAAAATGAAATTAGATTTGATCATATGCCAACCCTTATTTACATCCCGATAAAACTTTCAAAATGATACCTTATTACTTATATTTACATTTGTGACTGATTTATTACAAATAGTAAGGTACTAAAGTTTTAAACCCATAAATGATTTATTTTTTTTTTTAAACTCAACGGTATTAATTGAATGTGTTGAACACGTCGATTACTTATGACGTCACTATGAAAATATGTAGATTGTTTATGACTAAACAATTAATTTATGGTCACCTGATGAACTTGTTTTACACAGGTGTAAAAACGCCTTCTTCAAATAGTGTTATATAAGGAAAAACATTTGCAAATGTAAATATTAGGGATGTCAAATCGGTCAATTTTTGATAATCGGTTACTCGGACGTTTTTCTGATCGAGTACCCGGGTACTCGGTAAAAATGAAAATACAAGACAGTGTGATAATTTTCTTGAGCCCGGTAAAGCTCTGTTAAATCCCAAAGCTGTTTTATCACGTTTATAAATGTATATAAACAACTGAGTCAAAGGGAAATGATTTTTGGTACCAAATTTATTTATCAAATAAACTTAAAAGACACAATTAATGCATAAAAAAAATAAAAATGGTTTACAGTTCTTGTTTAGGACCTATTTCATCAACGCAAAAGGACAATCTGTTAGGCAGTTTTGTGATGTTAGACAAACGAAAGAGAAGGAAAAGACGTTCTTGGGATCGCTAATCTAATTATTTCATAATTTAGTTGTTTCCCATTAAACCTACTACGCAAACTGACTTTCAATTTTTTTAAAATCTTGAGTTATTTCTAAATATTTCTTCACTTTTGAAGTGGGTAGCTGTATTTCTATGCATGTCCGATTTTGCTACCGTATATTAATTAAATAATTTAAAAACGATTTGACTATAATAAACCATACTTAAACGATGTTTTCTGAAAACAATCATTGAAGCCATCCAAAAATTAGGGACCACAATAGGAGAGAACTGCTGTGTACCAGATGATTGGTCATTAATTACTGTATATACACAGCCACAGGTGATAACAGGTGTTTTACAGGTGTAGATGAGGACACGCTAATTACCGTATGAATATTTAAGTAATTTTTTGATTAGTTTTTGATAAAAATATGTACTTTGAAATAAGAAAAAAATATACTTCCGAGTAACCAAGTACCATTTTTAGTATTCGATACTCGGACGTTCGATCGAGTACCTGGTTAACCGGGTACTCGTTGACATCCCTAGTAAATATATATTTATACAGGTGACCCGTCAGACCTGTATACCTTTTTATCTTCGGGTGACCCATAATTTATTATTACTATTGATAATTGTCTTGTTGTTCATTGTTATTCATTATTTTCATCATAATAAATTTTGTAAATTTGCAACCTGAATTTTTATTCCAATTGAAGGGTAAAATTCAGAAACAGGAGACCCACAATAATTAATATTCATTGTAACAAACCCTGCAACAGATGTAAACAGTACACAAGTTCCAACTTTTTTTGCCCAATGGTTCTTGAGAAGATTTTTAAAAGATGCCACCAAATTTATACTAATTCTTAATTATCTTCCCTTGAAAGAGGGCATGGCCCTTCGAACATTAGAACAAACTTGAATCTCCTTCATCAAAGGATCCTTTGTGCAAGTTAACGTTTAGTTGAAATTGGCTCAGATGGTTCTTGAGATGATCAAAATGTGAAAAATTTACATATTGACAGCTAGACAGATAAACAGCTAAGACAGACTGACAACAGACAAAATGTGATCAGAAAAGATCACTTGAACTTTCAGCTCAGGTGAGCTAAAAATGAACACTAAAGGGCACTTCCACCTTGATGCAGGCCCTAACTGAATGTAGGAATTAACTTTTGGGATATCATAAGTAATGTTTTACATGTATGTGTTAGTACACAAAAAAACTTCTCCTCTGCTTTCAAGGGCTTGGAACCTTCTGCTTGAAAAAACACAAATCCTATAAATGCTAGGAAGCAATGTTTTTTCAAGCAGGCAGCATTAAAAGTTTTGTGTTTTTTTCTTTCTTTTTTTCTTTCTTTTTAGTGCTTTTCTTTTTTGGTTTCTTCTTGTTTTTTTCTTTCATTTTTCCTTTCATGTTTTTTTTTCTTTTTTTTTTTTTGTGTTTGTTTTTGTTTTTTTTTTTTTTGGCTTTTTTTTTTTTGTTTCTTTGTTTTTCTTTTTTTTTTGTGCAAAACTTTGGCCAATGAGATCAGACAATTTAACATTACACTATAGTCACAATTCATTGTTCACTGTCACAATTTAACATTTACTTCTAACAATTTCATGTACTATATCACTGCATAACTATTCACATACATCATTCACTGTCACAGTCTGACATTTACTATTAATACACTTTAACATTTACATGTACTATCACTGCATAACTTAAGTCACAATTCACTGTTTGAAATGCAATTTAACATTTTCACTACAGTACTATTCGTTTTTTATCATACCGGTTTTATATCATACTGCTTTTTTTATCATAGATATTTGAAACACAAAACCATTTCTTAATAATTCATTACTGTATTACAATTAACATTCACATGTACTCTCTCTGCAGAATTATAATTAGTCACATCAATACATGCTGATATACATTCAATAACACAATAAATCCTTAGTCACCATTAACCACCTTATTACAATAGCTTAAGTAAATGTGTACACACTACGGTAATCACAATTTAACATTTACTATCACTTTATATCCACAGTCACATCAATAATACATTGCATATATACTCATTTGAACAATAAATTCATTAAGTCGATCTCTGTCAACTATACATACTAACTACATAAGCTAAATAAATCTGTACTTAACAATTACAACATATCTAGTCACCTCAGTAATGCACATTGTATATTATCCATTACACAATAAATTCATAGTCACTATATCCACCCTCACTTTTTAATAAGTAGTTGTACATTCCAGGAATATTAATATGATATATAAAAACCACTTCTTCTGTAACATTTACACATAATTTTTTTGATGTTGGATAAGAAAAAAAGAAAGATTTTTTGAAAGACAAAGGAGCCTACAGCTAGTCGCGTTTTCAACCCCTCCTCCCCAGGCCAGCCTGGCAACCGTAGCGGCGAAGGAACCATGAAGTTCCAACCAGTAATGCCCCAGGGTATCGACAAGGTCTACTTACAACTAGCCTTCAACTACTTCATCTAAACAATTTTAGAATGTATTAGACCACAACATGAAATAACATTATTATAGCAAAATAATGATTAGATGATAAAAGATATTTACATAAAATAATAAAGATAACACAATTATCTCTTTGACATAGAGAAAAAGAAGGGGGTCAGTGTGGGAGGAAGCCGGAGCACCCGGAGAAAACCCACGTGTCTGAGTGGGCGACCCCATACCCTATTACAACTCAGACACCCATTTCCAAAACAAATGTCTAAAAAATTGTTCTGGATAATCACAAATTATAACATTGTAAACTGGATGCGCTTGTGTGTGCTGCACATGCAGATCTGGCTTTCTGCATTGTCATCTTTCTTTGTCTTTTTCCAAACATGATCACAAGGATATGCCTCTTCAATACTTTTATTTCCTATCAATGAATAAGAAACAAAGGTAACCATTAGGACTGATGAAGTAGAAAGGAAGAACAGAGTCCTACAGAATGGCATACTTGGGTACTTATTCTCATACCTGAGGGCTCCTTGTCATTCATAATGTCAAGCACATCCACATGACTTTATCTGAGTCTCCTACAGGGTACTGTCACCAAAACATCAAAGATTACTGTAAAATAGATGTTAATAATATACTTCAGCATCTAAATAAGTATAAACAGAAATTAGGAAAAGAACAACATATCTTAGCAAAATATTATATATCTCTAACATAATGTTCTTCTGCTGTACTTTGTCAGAAAAGATCCTGGATTATTAATTATGTCCCATACCTGATCAGTGACAGTTATCCATTATGATATGTCTTGCTGTCGGGAAGGTCATCATCCATCAGTCTTGTCTTTTCTAGTTGTTTCCACCAATATTGTCTGGCTGTAACTGCTCATTTCCACATTCCGAAGGGTCAACATCCATCAGTCTCGCCTTTTCTAGGTTTTTCGACCAAATCTTGTCTGGCTATAGCTGCCCATTTCCATATCTTAAAGAGTCAAGGTCTATCAGTCATGTCTTTTCCAGTTGTTTCCACCAATTCCAGTTTGCTTCTTCAAGTTTTATTTTTCATTCATTCCTGTCTGGCTGTGGCTGCTTATTTCCACATCTTGGGAGGACCAACATCCATCAGCATTGCATTTTTCAGTTGCTCCCATCAATTCCTAAAAGGTTGTAAATGCTCTACTCCACATTGTTGAAGAAAACTTTACCAACACCATCCTTCTAAGGCTCCTCTTCAACCTGTCAGATGCAAGTGTCTTGTGTTAATTACTTTTCAGGAAAGAAGTGAAAGGCCGGGTAATGGTTACAGACTCCTTTAGTTTCTGTTTTTAAAGAATAAAAAAAGGTAATAAAAAGGTCCAATGAAAGTAAATGGGAGAAATCAAAGGTCATAGAGAATGGCTTGCTAAGGGTAACTTTCACATACCTGAGGGATCCTAGTCATTCATGTCAAGCACATCCACATGACTTCATCTGAGTCTCCTACTGGGTACTGTCACCAAATCATCAAAGCACACTATATTAAATAGAAGTTAATATACATCTATCAGTAAATTAAGAAAAGAACAACCATATCTAAATAATATAGTTCAAGGATCAAATATTCTTTTGCTGTACTTTTCCAAAAATGATCTTCGATCATTGATTATGTCACATACCTGATGAGTGACAGTTATCTACTTTGATATGTCTTGCTGTTGGGAAGGTCAATGTCCATCAGTCTCTTAATTCTTTTCCAGTTGTTTCCACCAGTTCCTGTCTGGCTGTAGTTACTCTTTTCCACATCCTGGAAGGTCAATGTCCATCAGTCTTGTCTTTTCCACTTGTTTCCACTAATTCCTGTCTGGCTGTAGCTGTTCATTTCCACATCTTGGAGAGTCAACATCTATCAGTCACATATTTTCCATTTGGTTCCACTAATTCCTGTCTGGCTGTAGCTGATTTACAAATCCTGGAGAGTCAATGTCCATCATTTTTGTCTTTTCTACTTGTTTCCACCAATTCCTATCTGGCTGTAGCTGCTCATTTCCACATCCTGGAGGGTCAATGTCCATCAGTCTTGTCTTTTCCACTTGTTTCCACCAATTCCTGTCCGGCTGTAGCTGCTCATTTCCACATCTTGGAGGGTCAATGTCCATCAGTCTTGTCTTTTCCACTTGTTTCCACCAATTCCTGTCTGGCTGTAGCTGCTCATTTCCACATCTTGGAGGTTCAATGTCCATCAGTCTTGTCTTTTCCACTTGTTTCCACCAATTCCTGTCTGGCTGTAGCTGCTCATTTCCACATCTTGGAGGTTCAATGTCCATCAGTCTTGTCTTTTCCACTTGTTTCCACCAATTCCTGTCTGCCTGTAGCTGCTCATATCCACATCCTGGAGGGTCAATGTCCATCAGTCTTGTCTTTTCCACTTGTTTCCACCAATTCCTGTCTGGCTGTAGCTGCTTATTTCCACATCTTGGAGGGTCAATGTCCATCAGTCTTGTGATAAGAAATAAGACATAAGGATACTTCTACTTTAATAAACTATTAAATTACTGACAGAGTCTGGTTCTCATTAATCCCAGAAGTTCAACGTTATCAGCTTTACTCTAAATTTTTAGCTTTTAATCATATGTAGCTTGTATTCCTCTATTTTAAAAAGTGTTGGGAGCTGGTTGTGTGCTTCATTCTGCAATTTAATATATCTTCAAGGCATACTTTGCTTTTTTCTTTATCTTATAAAAAGATGGCTAAATTTGTCATAATAAGTTCCCAAGTATGAGAAACTTTCTCCCAGCACTTTTCACATGACGGAATTTGTCTCAACGAAAACAGTCAATTTCAAAATAAACAAGCTAATTCAGAGAATTTGTGTCCCCCATTTAGGGAAAAAAGAAGAGCATGCCCAGTTCTGGGGGGTGGGGGTCAGATTTCCCGCTCCCCTCTGGATTTGTAGAATTATTAAATGTATACATGTATATTGAAGCAAATAAAAAATGCCAATATGGATATAAAGATTTGATTGCTTATTCTTTAATATGTGTATAGAAGATTCTTTTTAATATATAAAATATTTATCACACTGTAATAATGATTTTATGAGTTTGTACACGCCAGACGTCATAACTTTCTCATTTCACATGTTGAATAGTATCATTTAGTAAATTCAAAAAAAAAAACATTAAAAAAAATTGGATTGTCTGGGATTTGAACCCGGGCCTCTCGCTTGCTAAGCAAGCATCATACCCCTAGACCATGGAGGCACTTGATTATACAGCAAATTATTTCAAAAGGTTAGTGTCAAAAGTCAGTAATGATAATGTTGTAAGAGTTATGCTTCTTCGACTATGTAACAAGAAGTCAATCTACTCATTTCCATAATATGACTTAACTCATATTGAGTTAAGTCTGATTAAATGCAAACATTAGATCACATAAAATATATACATTCATGGTTGATATCGTCAAAATTTTACACAATACATATTGTCTAATTTAGCCTTTACTAAACAGTTCTAAAAGATGTAATTAGAATATAAAGTCGGCCGACAACCTGTATTATACGTAATAACTCCACATACCCCTGTGCTAAAAATAGTGCCAAGTCATAAATTAAAAAAATGGGGCAGGACACTTTGAGAGGGGCGAGAGACGCCATAGGAAGTTATCGTATAAAATTTCTTTGCAAAAGCTCAAAAGCTTTTTGAGATATCACCCGGAAACGAAAGTGTTACACACAGACGGAATTGGTGAATTTATGACCTTGAACTTTGAACTTTTGATCTCAAAATCAATAGAGGTCTTCCTTAGGCCACAGGAGTTGTTATGTAAAATTTCATTGCAAAAGCTCAAAGAATTCGCGAGATATCGTGCGGAAACAAAAGTGTTAAAACAGACAAAATTTATGACCTTGACCTTTGACCTTTTAACCTCGAAATTAATAGGGTTCTTCATTAGTCCATAGGGAGTTGATATGCAAAATTTCATTGGGAAAGCTCGAAGGGTTCTCGAGATATCACTCGGAAACGAAAGTGTTACAGACAGACAGAAATACAGACGGACAGACAGACCCAAATTAATATCCCCCACTTTCAGTGAAAGTGGGGGACAAAAATGTATTAATATCTCATTGAAATTTTCACAATTTTTGTAACTGTACATATATTTTGTAATTTTAACCTAGCTGTCATGTGACAAACAGATCATATTATCAGTGATGTCACTTTGGCCAAACTCAGAAGAGAACCCAATATAATTGTACAGATAGCAGAATTTCCATTCAACAAAATTAAACTGATTAATTTTTTTTAAATACTGTATAGGGGATTAATTTCACGGGTTGTAATTTTCACGTTTTTCTCTCCTCGGACACGATCGCGGTTTGTTGAATTCGCGGAAATGTTATATAGTAAAAGTTACCTCCCTTGTCTATATTAAATCCATAGCATAGCTAGAACGACATTAATCAGAGTTATGTATTCACTTCACGAACAACAGGGTAGGTTTACATAAAATAGTTAGATTTAATAATTAATTGACGATTAATTAAAAAAAAGTACAGTTATTAAAAACGTCGAATGACTTTCCTATATGCTATTACGATGAGTGCATGTACACCCCAAGATCTTCTTCCCGAAGGGATAATCATCGCGGCGATAAAAACCACTGGACGGTAATAAATATGTTAATTAATGTAGGTCTACGAAATAATATCCTTTCACATCTTCAGCAAGTTCGATAGTTATTTGAATGATTTCTTAAAACCAAAATGTCGATAAAAACTAATACGCAGTAATAATGCAGGTAACAAATACACGTGGTAACATCAGTTACGCACGAGTAATCAAAACCCATGACCCACGTGTTTTGATTGATGAAACATGTAGCGTTGGCTATTAAAATTAAAGTAAAGCGTGATAATTAAGATAATTGAATGACAGGTACTACTCCTAATTACTGAAATGCCCATGTACTGCAGGTATATATACCTATCGTAGTCTTTTCTCAAATTTCCAAATAAAACATGAGGTCATTGAAAACTTATTCACTGTTTCTTGAATTCACGGATTTATTAACACCGTGAATATAGCGAATACTAACACCGCGAGTTATTTTCCCCCTATACAGTATTGAATCTTTTTTACGGAATATATGATAAAGCATACTTCCTACGGGTGTCCTTAACCTAGCTGTGGTCTGCATGGTCAATGTCCATCAATCTTGCCTTCTCCAGTTGTTTCCACCAATTCCCATCTGGCTCACAGTAGCTGCTCATTTCCACATCCTGGAGGGTCAACATCAATCAGTCATTCTTAGCTATGTTAAGGAAATCAATGGAAAATATTATCTTAACATGTTTTTAATATGTATTACATTTAATAATCACTGTAAAAATGTAACTAAAAAATTGTAGGAAAGGTAATAAAGTCACCAGTAATGAATAGGTTCATGTCGTACTCAGTACAATTTACATTGTCAGCTGCATGTCACATGACTGGTGTAAAAATAGAATTATTAGGCTGAATGTAAAAAATGACGCTAGTGCATGGGCATCCAGTTGTTTTTTGCCATAAAAATTGATACACATTAAAATTTACATCCCTTGCCTGAGAAGTGCTGGGAACTAGTTTGTGCTGTTTGGGAAGTCCTCACAATTTTGCCAACAATGGGTGAAATAGCAAAAAATTTCCACTTCACCATCACATCATAAATGATTTAAAAAATATTCTTCAGACCAGAATCAACTCCTAGCACTTTTTAGATTTACACGATATAAGCAATTAATATTTGGCATTTCAGCTTAAACAGTCTTATAAACACTCTAGTGTATGCCCTTCCACTTTTAAGGTTTATTGGGAATATGCTTAATATAGGATTTGTGATTTTCTTTACATTATCTGACGCTGTGCTGCTAGATAAGATCCTGATAAATTATTTACACAGTTGTTCTTAAGAAAAGTTTTGTTTTCAGTTTTATTGATTAGACTAAAAATTTGACGATGATTTTGTATTTAATTAATTATTTTTGTAACTATTAAACAAAGGGATATCAGGCATGAAACTTATAACACTTAATTTTCTATTCTCTATGTAAAATCAATCAAGAACTGTATTAAATACATGTACTCGTTTACATTGTAAATAAAATGATTATTATTTTACTTGCGTATTTTGCACATTTTTATACATGAAAAGCATGCTATATTGCTAAGTAGAGTAAGTCTTTTTATGTAGATATTACTGTGCTGTTTGATTAGGTTACATAATGGCCTATGACCTTCGAAAAACTTCATACAGGTATGAAGATATTTGCTCTCTGTATGTTTATTTAATAGAGAGATACCAAAAATATTTGCAAATATTTCTTGCAGCAAAATATTTGTTTTAATTATTATTGTGTAATAATGAAAAAAAAATTCCTCAGGCACCAAATTTAGTCCTCAGAGATATTGAACTGATAAACAGAGAATAAATGTTGCTGTGAACAATGGTTGATTTACAGTTACTTCTAGTATTACAATAGAAATACCTAA